GTGTGTGCGTGTGCGCGTGTGTGTGTGCGCGCGTGTGTGTGCTCAGCAGTTGTTTCAGACAATACCTTTGCCACGGACCTCCTCTCCATCCCCACCCTCGCTCCCTGTCTGCGTCCACAACCGTCCACTTAGCAAGAGATTTAGTGGCAAATCCTCTTCGGTGTGTTTCCTGTAATTTTCCGCTTTGTTGGGATATATTTGTATTTTTCTGTCAGTTTTTCTTCGCCAACTTCTCCTGAATGTTATCGGGGCTTGTACAGCGATTTGTTGAAGCATTTGTTAATAGTAATTGAGCGTTTGTTGTTAAGGGTTTTGAGCTAAAGTCTTTGTTACTCATACAGCATTGTTTTTCTCCACGTAATGCTACAGATACACACAGAAAGATGGGAGCTAGCAGGCACAGCATGCTAGCACTGTATGAAATTATGTTTTAAGGCCTAGTCACACCAGAAAGTGACACAGCAAAACTAAGCTAATAGCAGTTAGATAGTAATTTGGTAGTTTGGGATTTTTTTTGTTATTATCCTTTGTTTTTCTAGTGGGTAGTTTATTTTTTCTAAAAATTATTATAGAAATGTAGTTGAATAAATTAAATACATTGATTAAAGACATCTGTTAGACAGTAAACTAAAGGTTTACTGAAAATACAGCTGTAGTATTTAGAAGTTTTCACTCTGAGAAACGGTAAGGAAAGGAATTGTGCACGTAGCTAATAAGCTACAACAGCATGAGGTTGGCCTACGTTAAACTTATCCAGAGCTGCACCATTAGCAATTTTCCTTAAGTCACTAAGCAGTGCTGTTTTCAAACGAAAACTCCCATTACTACATACAAAAATAAAAGATCATCCAGGGCATCAGGAGACTGGACGCTTGTTTCTACCACAGACAAAATGTAACAACTGCCCAAAAGAGACTAAATTCTGGGCTATCTCAAAATTTTGAATTGCATATATTGTAGTTTTGAGATGCATTACTCAAAATGTTGAGTTATTAAGACAAATTTTAATCATGGTCGCTGTTTGCAACATCCTTGAATTTTGAAGGACAACTTTGAAGAAATTATATCCGTGGTTTGTTGACTTTGGAATAAAGGTGCAGCTGCTGTGATGGGCCAATGGAGAGGAGCAGTCTTACACCTGAGTTTGACTTTTACAAGTTAGACCCTGAAGTCAAAGATGCTCCAAAAAAATGGCTCAAAGTTATTTATTGACTCTCAAACTTGTTGTTGAGCTCAATAAAGGGTAGTCCAAAATGTAGAACTTTAAGGGCAAAGGAACAAAGGAGGCCGGACTTCCTTCAGGTTTTTGAAAGGGTTAGCGCTAAGTTTAGTTATTCCATAAATGTTAGACAGCAGTACAGGAATAAATGCTCTAACAGGCTTCAGAAGAACCACTTTTCTCCCCCAAACACATCCTGGTGGCAACAGTTTTCTATCAAAGATCACAACAGTTAAACTTGATTTTAAAAAATTAGCAGACATTTGCTGTGTCAAATGTTGGTGTGACGAGACCTCCAACTGTACATTGTGTTCAACTTGGTGGTCAGTTTAGGAATAGGTAAAGTGTATTTTTGTTTCATCTCTGTGTTAATTAGCATAGTTAGCCTGTGGTTTGTTGACTTTCTGCCTCAGTTGGATCTATCTGTGTGTATCTGTTTTTCCTGTCTTCTTCATCAGCTCATCAACCAGTCTTTAAGGATTTGAGCTTTATTTCATTAGGTACAACTTCTTGGCAGATCCACAGTATGTGCCAGTGATCGATGACAGCGGCACAGAGTGAGTTAAATGTTACTGAATCAAGTTGAATTCACTTTTAATTGCACTGAATCAAAGTGAGTGGCTGTAAGTGCGACACTGAACCTGTGGCGTCTCCCTCGCTCAGTGGTTCCAAGAATCTGTGGGGATCAAATTTGACTCTTCAGCTCAGCCAAAGCATCCATCCCCATGAGTTTGACTGTGGGTGTATTTATGCATAACGACTTCTCGTGTGTCCACGTGTATCCTTACACATTTATGTGTACGTATTTTCTTTTCTTCATCGAGGGCTATTTCTGAGGGTCAAATTTAAAGCCAGACTTGATCCGATATGTTTAACACAAAATGGGCTTGATTTGTTTTTATAAAGTCAAATTTTGTTGCAAAAATGCACATGCAAAAATGTTGCACTCAAGTGGCTATCCTGCCGTAGCAGAGCTGTTGTTTTTGGGGGTTTTGTTTCTTTTCCGGTATGAAAAAGTTGAGGAAGATTTGAAGTGTGTAGAAGTAGTTTAGGGTTTTACAACATAATGTCAAATCTACCAGCCACTTTGGCGGGAGACTCAAGGTTACTCTCCTGCCATTCTAACAATGAACTTGAAGCTTTTTAGTACCATTCCCGATCTCAGTCCAGCATCTCCATCCCAGCCATCAGTGGTTGTCCAGTATCAAACTCATCGCCCACTCTGCTGTGAAGTCTCTACAATCTCGCTTCAGCCTGTCTGGTCCAGTTGGTCTTTCTCTAGGATGCTTCTTTAGCCTGTTTGTCACTGTTGGTATGTGTAGATATGTGTAAGAAAAAAAATAGCTATAATAACCAGTTTCTGTCTAGATTGTCCACTCATCCCTGTCGCTGTTGGATAGATGCTGCTTCTAGAAGCTTCCTGTTGCAGTCTTGTGTTAGCTTAGCCTCTCTTCATAGTATCCCCTGAAACCTGTGCAACACCTCCCACAGCAGGTTTTCCCACCCCGTCCTCTTCTCCGCCAGTAACTGTAGCTCTATTATCTCTCTTGGTGTCTCAGTCTTTTAGCAGTAGATTAAACCTCTCACCGGCTCTCAGGCTTTGTAGTTCTCGAGCTTTTCCTTAACATCTCTGCAGTGTTTGGTAGGTGAGGTCCCCATCTTTTTTTTCCCTCCATCTCCAATCATATTTGCCAGTCATGATGTCAGCAGCCTACAGAGTGTCTCCGGTTGGACCTCGACGGCGAATCACAAGACGCTTGAATATCCAGGTGTTTTGTTACAAGTGGGCGAGCTGAAATGGTGCTTTTCTAGAACTAGTGAAGTATGTAGTCCAAGAAGTGTTGGAACTTAGATGTCAGCTGTGACTGGGAGGTTTGTCAGTCAACCAGCTGTTGTTCAGGGGCACTTAGGAAAATTATGGAAAGTAGTGAGTCCACTGATCACTGGGACAGTTGATCGAGATATTAGCTCTCTTCCCTGTTAGTTTTATTATAGCTCTGCGGAGAGGCACCGAAATGTCTTTGCAAACCTACGCAGAGAAGGATGTCATTCGTACCCAGTGGTTGAGCACACCTCTTAAATCTCAACGACGTAGTAACTGCCACAAGTGATCTTCGAGCAGAACACAGGAAACTTAATCTGTTTGGTTTTTTTTTTTTTTATTGGTTTTTTACGCCAGTGAATTCCTCGTTTCTGTCTTGGATTTCGTCGTTTGTTCGTGCTTGCCCACTGCGTGTAAATCTGTTTTCGAGATGTGGCATATTGGCATTTTCGCACAACAGTCAAAGAAAAACGTGCTTATGTTTGCCGGCTTGCAGGCTGGAGAGACGTACCTCAAGCTTATCTACGGCTTCTAACAAATACGACTATGCAGAATCTTTAGGTCTTTGCTGCCGTAAGCTTTCTGGTTTCAACTTGTAGTACAAGTTCTGTTTTCCAATCTCCTTTGAGCTTTGGTTGCGCGCAGGTCTGTAGAGAACAACAGCAGGATTCATCCAGATATCTTGGCTGCACTCTAAGCCCGCGAACAGTAGCAGCTGGACCTGGAGTTCTTAAATAGTCGATAAATTCTGTGATTGGATGTTCCTGATGCTCCCTGTGTCCTAAATATGGACTCTTTGGATCTTCTCCATCTTCAAAACTTCCCCTCCTCTGGGCCACCTGTGTTTTTGAGTCCCAGCTTTAAAAAGAAAACTATTTTGTTAATGGATGTGTCCTTTTTGTGGCACCAATATGAGACCGTTTTTATATTCTAGGACAGCTGCCTTACTGTCTCTAATCTTATGTGATAAATTGACACTTCACAAATAAAAGCTGCTTGATTTGCTTGGCACTGATCCAGGATCAGGTCGTCATAGCCCTGGATGATAAAGTAATAAATCACATGAGGTCTAACTGCAGATCTGATGATTGATAACAAGTTCGTAATAGTCTCATTAGGCTTTGAAATGAAGAAGGGTAAAATGAGAGCCAGGACGTGGAGGTGAAATCAGGTTAACTGTTTGCTTTAATGTAATCTTTGCGTTTTTGTTATTTTTGTTCTACTTTCTCTGAGTGGAACCTACTGCTGCCAGTTGGGATCAGGTTATTCGACTGGTTTTAAAATGTTCCGATGTCGAAAGATTGAGTGGGTTCAGAAAAAATGGCCGCGGTGGTTTTTCCGTTGCTGGCTCGCCACCTTTAGCGTCAGTGCAACTTGCCAATAGTTTTTACGGCTTTATCACATAAGGTGTGGCCAAGCATGCGGGCTCTTATTCAGTGCTTCACCTTCCCTCAAATTCAGACTCTTTCTCACATTTACAGCTGAGACTTTCCCGCCTCGACCGCTGTTTTCTGCTGTTAGCCTGCTGGGATCAGTCCTGGGGAACCTCGTGGCCACGTTGCAAAGTTTCTTTCAACTTTAAAAAAAGAAGAAAAAAAAAAGCTGCTGCCGCCTGTCTGCATTGTTGTAGCATGAATCTAAGTGGAGGAGGATACATGGATAAACCTTGATGTCATATTAAAACGTCTGCTGAGGCGCTGAGCGAGCAGACTCCTCTCTGGCGAGCCATCTCTCTTTTTCTCGGGGAGTGCATGGTTGTGTTGTTGGTGTTTCTTGTCACCCCCCCACCCTTAAAAAGAATTTTTTAAGAAAGCATGATATGACAGTCGCAGCGGTGGTGCTCATGATAAATTCCCTCCTGTTGTTGTTGTCGTTGCTGCTTTAAACGGCCCCGACAGCGCGAAGGGGCGGATGGA